CAGGCAAAAATTCTCAAGTCCAAGAGGTCGCACTTTCAAAGAGATAAGTAACCCTCTGAAAAGGGGAGGACAAACCTAAAGGTCCCCAAAAGCCAGTGTCCATCTGTGCCATCTGTGGCTTAGGTGTTTCTGCAGCCCCTGCACAACACAGATGGCTGACAGGACAGTGATCAATGTGTTGGTCTTGCAGGTACAAGACCCTGCACCTGCCCTCTCCTCTGCCTTGCTTCCTGGGCTTCAGCCACACTGGCCTTGAAGTGTTCCTTAAATCTAGTGAGTTTCCTGACCCCCGCCCCACCCCAATGAGCCTTTGCCCATACTGTTCCCTCTGCCTGGGACTGTCTCTTGAATCCACTCTTCTGACTCTTTTCACCTCGCTCCCTCCTTTAAAGCCCAGCCAAAAGACCTTCCTCAGGGACACTTCAGGGACCCCAGAAGTCAGGCCAGGCCAGAACCTGTTGGTATGAGCTCTCATGGCACCATGCTCTCCTCTCTAGCACTCAGCAGTTGTAACTTCACACACATTTGCTGAGCTCTCCGAGGGTTACCATCCCCTTGCTAGATTGTGAGCTCCATGTTGGCCTCCATGTGTGTCTCTAGCCCAGGTATTTCCATCTGGATGTTCCAAAAGCCCTTTAGACTGGTCTTGTTCCAATGCTCCTCTGTTGACTGGCTCATCCTCACCTCAGTAAATGCCACCTCTGCCCTCCCAGTGGCCCAAACTGGAAAACTTGGGAGTTGTCCTAACATCCTTTTCTCCCTTCCAACTCCAACCCTAACCCCACTTGGTCTCCAAGTCCAGTCAGTTTACCACCTAAGTATTTCAGGGACCCCTCACCTCCTCTCTTGGCCCCTGCGAGCTCATCCTCCTCATGGTAGCCAAAACAAAATTTGAAAATTCAATTTTACCCTTTCCCTCTCCTGCTCCAAATCCTTAGATGACTCCCTGCTGACCTTCTCACATTCTCTACTGGGACTTAAGGCCCTTAGCTATGTGGCTTCTGTCTAATTCTCCAACTTCATTTATCACTCCCTCCCTCTCCCCCAAATGCCATGCTGTGACCCCCCTCAGCTATGTTCAGCTCACCAACATGCTCTCTGACCACTGTCTGGGCCTTTGCTCATTATATTTCTCCAACTTAAAAACTCTGCCCTATAAAGCCATTTGAGCCTTTAGTTCTCAGTCTAGAATATGCTTCCTCCAGAGAGCCATCCATGTCCACCCCACCACCACCTCCTTTGCTCTACAGCCTTCTTCCCATCACTATACTTATGAGGCTGCATCATCATCTCATTTCCTTGTGTGTCTCCCTCACTCAAGTGGAAGATTTGTGAGGGATCAGGGTCTTGCTTGCTCTGGCCTCTGCAGTATCCACAGTGTCCTGGCACATATACCTGGACAGACAGTGCAGGAGTGAAAGCCGGAATTAACCAAGACCTTCATCTTCCCAGCAGCTGCTCACTTTGATGAGTCTGTGGTTTGCTTTCGGGTAACTTTCTCCTCCTTACCTCCACTCATTCTGCCTCCCCTGGTAATTCCATCCAAGGCTGCATTGGCTCCTGCCCACGGCTTCTCATAAGGAATGTGCTGTCCTTTCTGCTCTCCCTTATCTAATCTCCCTGACCAGGTGGCCTAATTAATGGCCCCCAAGCCATCCCAGCACTTCTGTACCCTTTCAAGATCTTTTTCATCCCCCGACTCCCCAAACTCACCTTCTGGCTGTGACTTCCATAAATTTTGCACATTTAATTCCCTGATGCTATTCAGTTCTTACATCCCAGGCTGAGCTAAACCCCTGAAGTAATTTAGGTAACAGCTTCATTATCTCATCTTTCCTTTACTCTAATCTTCCCTTTTCTATTATCACCTAAGAAGCAGTGAAAAATGGGTTGTGAAAAGTATTTTCTGCCCAAACCTATTTCTTCCCTTGCAGTTCTTATCTTGGTTCATGTCATCGGCATCCACCCAGTTGCCTGAGATCTGAACCTCAGAATCACCACCTACCCCTCCTTCCTACCTCCTACTCTCTATTTCCAGGATATCTCCAACATTATCTGCTGTCCTATTGAGGAGTCCCTCAAATTCAGCCTTCTCTGGCCACCACCCAGGCCCTCATTATCTGTATTCTCCTGGACTAAGTTCACCTCCTGACTTGTCCTCTTGTCTCCAGCCCTGTGCCTATGCCCACACCAATCTACCTATCCACCAACTACTCATTTATTCAACCATCCGTCCACCTATCTGCCCATCCATTTACCCATCAATCCACTCACCTGCCATCATCACCTACCCATCATCCATCCATCTGTCATCCTCCCATCCTCCAATCTGCCCTCAATGATCTTTCTAAGACACACATTGGTCACATCATAACTCTGCTTAAATAACTTCCACACTTCTACATTAGAATCTTCTAGAGAATGTTTAGAAAAAATACCAATACCAAGGCTTATCCCCAGAGATTCTGATTTAATTGGTCCTGAATGGGGCCTGAGTCTTGGTGTTATTAAAAGCTTCTCAGGTGATTCTAATGTACAACTCAGGTTGAGAACCATGTGGCCTAGAAGATAAAGACCCAGCTCATTCTCCTGTCATTCAAGGCCCCCCTATCCCCCAGTCAAGCCCTTAACCTGTCTCCCCAGCCTCATGCCCTACCTATCCTCTCCTACCACACTTGGAATTCTTGTTCTACTGAGCTACTCCTCTATCTTTGTATCTATGGTTCCCTCTGCCTATAAGACCGTGTTTCTTGGCCCCCCTATTTGGAAAACTTCTACCCATTCTTCAAGACCCAGCATAAATGTGACATTTTTCTATTTATGAGCCTCTCTTCCATAGCATCTCCCCATCTTCCATAGCATGCCATCCCATTGCTCAGCACTGGCTATGGTCACTAAAACAGGAACACTCCCTGCTCTGAAAGAACTTAAAGGTGAAGGGGGATGGAAGCTCCTTAAGGCAGACGTTTACAAACTTGAGTGTGCATCAGAATCTCCTGGGGGGTTGATTAAAACACAAATGCTGAGCCCACCCCTAGGGTTTCTTACTGAGTGGTCTGGAGTAGACCTGCATTCCAGTACATCCCCAAGTGATGCTGCTGATGCTGCTCAGGGATTACGTTTTGAGGACTTGTGCCTTAGAGTGTGGTCAAAGGCATGCTCTCTGGGAAGGTATCATTTAAACTGAGACCCAGAGGAAGAGAGAGACAGTCACCACCAGAGCAGGGGCTAACACATTACTGGTGGAGGGAACAGTGGGCGTGAAGGCTTGGGTGGGAAAGAGCTCTGCATGAAAGCCAGAGAGCACAGGAGGAGCAGTGCTGTCAGCTTCTCAGGCATGAGGAGGCTTTGTCACTTTCCACTGTAATCTCTCTCTTTTGCCTCAGCCACTTGACAAGGAGAGCCTCGAAGGCAGGTCTGTGTCACATTCCTGCAGAGCCCACCTGAGACCTGGCTGGACGCGAAAGCTGAGGGATTTGGGCTGGGTGGTTGAATTTTAGTGTTCTGGCTTATCTCTAGGCCATAAACAATGGAGAAATCTCCCTTTTTCTTAGAGAGTTTCTATATCTGTCCTCTATATAACCTAATTCCCTTCTCCTGAATTCCTGCTATCTACATAGACTTTTAGCTCATTTCATGACCGGAAGAAAATTCCTCCAAGTCAAGTGGCAGGGGCTCCACCTACCCTTCCCAAGCCCTTCCCAAGTTTGGGCAGGGTGAGGGTATGGGGGTGCTGTGGGAACCCAGAGTCCCTCAGGGCTTCACCTTCCAGCACTTGCTCTTGGCTTTGAGAAGATGATTCGGTCAGAGCAAGAGTCAGCAGATGTCCCTTCCTCGGAAACACTGATAGTGGGAGGCTCAGAGTATAATGTGGCCAGCCCTAACATGTGGCCCACCCTTAGGGCACAAGTGGAGCAAGGCAGGCCTGGGGGATCCTTAGCCTCAAGGGTAGAGGATGAGCCTCTCCTTCCACAGCCTGCCTTCCCAACATCTTCCCACCATGGAAAGCAGAGTAAAGGAAGAGTCAGGGTCAGAGGGCAAGATGGTAACATGGGACTGGGGGTCTGATTTTGCCCTTCCCTCTTCCTTCCTGGAGAATAAGATATACATACCTTTTGCTGTGCTAGTAGAGGGGTCTTTGAGGGAGATATTCCTTCAGTTTGTTTTTGGCAGCATCCCATTTCTCAAGCTTTGGGAAGCAATGGTATATAGACCTGCGGTTCTTAGACTTGAGAGTGAATCAGCATTCCCTGGAGGGTTTGTTAAAATCCACATTACTGGGCCTGTTCTCAGAGCTTCAGACTCAGCTGGTCTAGTGTGGGGCTCGGGAATCTGTATTTCTAACAAGATCCTAGGTGCTGCTGCTGTTGGTGGTCTGAGGACCACACTTTGAGAAACCCCAGTTTAGTGCGGTGCTCAGCCAGAAGACGCTAAGATTCTATCCATCATTATAGGACAAAGATTTACTTGCCTTATGTGTAGTTTAGTCAAAGGAGCTTTCCTTAATCCCTCCTCCCACATATGGAACCTCCAGGCCCATGTCCTGGGGGAGAACCTAGGGGTTAAGAGCCTGAGGGGGCCCCAGGGGCTGGGGCAGGCAGAGAAGGGAAAGGGAAGTGTTCACATTTTGTTCTTCCCACTGCATAGTTCTAGAACTCACACAAGTATTTCAAACACAAATGGTCTAGTATTTCTTAGCCCTGGGGAAGGTGGCTTCTTCCCAGAAAGTAGAGAAGGATGTAGCAAATGTCATATGCTCTGGGGGACTAGATGGGACAGGAGTCAAAGACCTGAGTTTGGGCCCCAGCACAGCTCTGGGACCTCGGGAGGGTTGCTTCAGCTTCTGTAGTATCCGTTTCCTCAACTGGAGTGCGTTAGAATAAAACCGAGCTTTGAAAGGTCCCCACGAGGGTCAAAAGAGCCACAGTAAGTGACACTGTGGAAAACTGTCTGGATGGCAGTTCCAGTGAAGCCAACCCGAGCTGTCTCGGTTTCCACAGGAAGGACCAGTACCTCCTCTCACCGGTGAACTGCTGGTATCTGGTTCTGCATCAGACCAGGCGGGAGAGCCGAGACCATGCCACCCTCAATGACATCTTCATGAATAATGTCATCGTCCGCCTTTCACAGATCAGTGAGGATGTCATCAGACTCTTCAAAAAGGTAGGCAAACAAGCCCCCTGACCTGCCTGTGCCTCTGCCCAGGCTGGCCATGGCAACACTGTGGTTTGGGGATGTGAGACCAGGAGGGCACGTATGTTGATGAGTGCAAAGGGCTGAAGGCTGGACTTGGCATCCCAGATCCTGAGTGTGAAGCCTGGGTGTGGCTGGTGGCTCAGCCATTGTAGCAACCACCGCAAAAATAATAACCTTTTCATGGAAAAGTAAGCTGTTCACATTTGTTGGAGGAAATTTGGGAAAATGGACATAAGCACACACACAAAATAAAATGTTATCACTCAGCAGTAATCACTTAAGTGTCATAGGTGTTTCTGTATCATGTACATATGCAAATACATTTTCTATGAGTGCTCATTTTTGTACATGTGACAGTTTACACATGCACTTTCCCCAGTAAGATCGGACTGCATGAATGATTTTACTATCTGCTTATGACATCTAAAAATTATGTAACACTTTGTTGTAGAGTTTTCCCATGTCAATAAATATATTTCCATAACATTTTTGAATGATTAATAATATTTTATTACCATATTTTTTGGACTGTAAGACGCACTCTTCTCACTAAATTTGGAGGGGGAAATGGGGGTGTGTCTTATAGTCTGCATGTAGCTTACCTGGCTTGCTGTGGGGGAGGGTGGGGGGTGGCAGCGGCCTACGTTATTTATGTTATTAAATATTTTACCACATTTTTTGCTTCAAAATGTTTTTCCCTATTTTCATCCTCTAAAACCTAGGTATATCTTATGGTCCAGTGTGTCTTATAGTTTGAAAAATTCAGTATATAATGTGCCCTAACTTATTTAACCATTGTCTTATTGTTGAACTTAAGTTATTCCATTGTTTTACTCTTATAAACAATGCTCTGCAAGCGATGTTGTGTAATACACAGGGTCCAGCAGCAATAGCACCTGCTGGAGTGTGATGGGTGCCATGTCTCGCCCGATATGGATAGCAATTTGGACATTTCACCTAAAATGTCATGTGGTGTGCTTGAGTGTGATACTGTTATGTTACAGAATTACATGCTTATGATTTTGTATTAAAAAAAAAACATGGGCATTATTTGTACCAGACCCTGTATACACCTTTGTCACATTCACTGCTATTTCCTAGTTTCAGTTTCTTCAATGGGAATTGGGGAGTCAAATGTTTGCTTATTTTTAAATCTCTTAACATACTGCTCGGGTGCTTTGAGAAAGATTTGACCCTGTGAAGGCCCAGAAGCCCAGTGGAGGGGGCAGTCATGGTTTATGTCCCTGAGGTCTTGGTATCCCAAGCCCCTTGCATAGCATGGAACAAACACTAGGTGCTGTGTGCAAGTCCGAAGAACTGAACTCACTTCTGTGAACTTCAGTTTTCTCATTTGTAAAGTGGGCAAGCCATTTATTTAGTCTTCCTGAGCCTCATCCTCTTCGTCTTGCAAATGGAGTTTAGGTCCCCTTCTTCCTAGGAGCAGTAGAGGGTTAGAGGAAACAGTGCCTGTGAAGGAGGAAGGTGTGGAGAAGTGGTTCAGGGTGTGGTCTTTGCGTCCAGAATTCTTGAAATTCCTGGGGTCTTAGTTCTCGCTCATCATTAGCTTTCCGTCATTAGTCTTCAGGCTTGTTCCTTACATCTCTGAGCCTCAGCTTCCTTGTTTGTGAGGTGGGGATAGAAAAACCCACTGGGCAAATTGGAAGGATTAAGAGGGTTTTTAAACCCAAATAAAACATGGAAAACAGCCCCTGGGGCTAAATGCTCAGGAAAGGTGGCCTGGGATTGCTAGAAGCACAGGAAGAGGACAAGATGATATGAAATATGATAATCTCGTCATGATCTGTATTAGGATTATCCCCTCTGAGGATGACTTCTATAGCAAAACTGTAGTCATAGGCTAGTTCCCTCCTTCCACTCAGTGTGCTCCGGTGTCCTGGGGCCATGTTAATGAAACATAGTCTAAGTTTAATATTTGCATAAGCAAACATAATTAGGAAGGTAAATACAGTGCAATTAAAAAAATGGCATAGCGCTTTGCAAAGCCACACTGAAGTGATTCAGGTCACTTGGTCCCATCACAAGCCTCTGCCTGCTGCCACTGTCACTTGTTTCCTGAGTGGGAGTGACTCAGAAAGAAAGGGTCATCAGAGCCTTTAGGAAATGAAGAGTCTTTCTTCTGAGCTGAGTCTGGGGACAAGCGAGATGAATCTTTTCTGTTCTCATTTAGGCTGACAGCAGCCTCTCTTGTGATGAGGTTAACAGGGTAGAAAATAATGAAAAAAAATGTCTACAGCTGAGCTCCTAGCTGCCTTGTTACCAGGTCTGTGGAACAAAGGAAATGACCCAGCCCCTGTGGGCCAGGAGAGAGATGGGGACAGGGCCTCACTGGCTGATTTAGCCCAGCATGGCCCTTTGTGTCTTGCTGGTTATAGGTAGTCTTGACACTGAGGCTGCACCCCTTACCTGACAAGAGTTCCTGCAGGCCTCACTGCAAGGGCTGCTGTCTGGTCAGACAGGAATGGGCTCATCACTCACCCATCTTATAGATGAGGAGGTAAAGCCTGAGCAGCTGCCGGGAGAACCCAGACTTGGTGACTTTGGGCCTGTTCTTCATCACTGGCAGGTGGCAGTGTGGCTGGGCTTTTGGAATCTCTCAGAACTGCCTCTCACTGACTGTGTGACCCTAGGCAAGTCTCTCTGAGCATCAGTTTTCACAACTAGGAAATGGAGATGGTGACACTGTCTTTATGTAGGTCAAATGTCCAGCATGGGCTTGTCTTTCAGTTGGTGCTCACTGAATGGTGGCTCACCAGGGATCCTGAAGAATGGAGCCCCCTCTGCATTCCTCAGATAGATAGCACTTGGGGTGGGGTGGGGCGGGGAGGTGGTATTCCTTCATCACCGTGTCACTTCATGCTCTAGCAATGCTCATGCTCTATCTGCTGGAGGTGGGAGTGGCTTGCAGGCCAGGTGTCCTTCCTGGGCTTGGGCCTGGGGTAGCTGCCTTGACTGCCAGCTTCTCACAGATGCAAGATGCTATTTGACTTAATAACTACCTTTTTATGATTCTCCAGTTTCCCTTTTATAATGGAATTTATTTACATGGCTAGAAGAAACACTTCAAATTCTAGAAGCCATTCTAGGATTCATCTGTTCAAATGGTCTTCTACATGCAGGTGGTCCTTGCTTTAAGTGTGAGGTCCACCATAGCAGAATGGAACTGGATGGGGTTTGGGAGGTCATTATAGGGATCAGGACTATTATGGTTGCAAACAACAGAAACCCAGCTCAACCTGCTTGAGAGAAGAAAGGGAATTTACAAGCTCTTGAGAGCCAAGCCTGGCTTCAGGCATGGGAGAGTTCCAGGGCACAAAGGAATTCAGTCTCTCTGCAGCTCTGCTCTGATTCCTGTCCTGCTCCACACACCCTTTTTAAAGGGAGAGAGTGAAGGGCTCTTCTGTTATCAGTCTGTTTCCACTTGATAATCAGATGGCCCGTGGCAGCTCCAGGCTTCTATCCTGTTTCAAGTTTAGTGGAAAGGAAGAACTCCCTTTCTCCAGAATTGAGTCTTATGGGCATTGATTGGCCCAGTGTAAGTCACATGAGCACTCCTACCTGTGGCTGGGGGATGCAGTGTGGAATGACCAGGTCTGAGAAACATACCCACCCCTGAAACCAAGTGTACACTCAACTTCACCTGACACAGGGGACAGAGAATGAGTGAAGGGCAATTCCCCAAGAAAAACTGGGGTACATTAAATCAACAAATGTCTACTAGGCTTCATGTTCCAGTCCTTTTATCATCCTCCATAAGAGTATTCATCCCTCCTCTTCTAGGTCTCCCTCAATAAAGGGCATTCATTACCTCTCAGGACGGTTCATTCTATTTGGGGACAACCGTGATTAATAAAAAATTCCCCCCAATGTTGAGATGAAATCTTACCATGTTTCTACTAAAAGGCCTGGTCATACACTTGAGGGCAACATCACTCAAATTTACATGGAAACCTGTCAGTTGCTTGAAGAAGATAGGAGTTGTGATCACCCACCCAGGTCTTTCCCTCCTCTGGGTAACATTCTAGGTCCCTCCACTTGTTCCTCTGTGATTTGGCTTTGTGTTTCCTCCCCACCAGAGATACTCTCCCTGGGTCAGTCCCAGGTCCCACAGAAGTTAATATTCAGGACCATTCAGAATACTCTGGTTTTCCCAGCTAAGAGGAGAGCAAGGCTATATTGACTCTTCATTTCCAATAATGAAATCTATGATGACATTTTGGCTTTTTCATGATAGTCCCATCACACGGTTGACTCACCCTGAACTCTCAGCTCAAATCCCCAGCTGTTTTTGTATCAACTGTTTTCTAATCTATCCTATGAATTCTGCACTTAATTTTTTGTTTTGTTTTTTAATATTTGCCCTTTTAAAACTTTATTATATTAGATTCTGGTCAAATGGGATGAGTGTCCTTATTTAAGTGATTTTTCAAGAAGCAATGGGGTAACTTTTTTAAGAGGTCCTAATTCTTCCTCTGTGGGAAAAGCCTGTTTTATTACTTCTCTGTGTCTTCCTCCTTGGTGTTAGCTTCTTCTCTGTGTCAATTCTTCAGCCATATGTTTGATTCTCCTATACCTTCTCAGTGGAGAGGTAGAAAGTGGGGCAGAGAGTTGAGAATGAGATACAGTTAAGGTGACTCTTGAGTTGGGTGTTAAAGGATGAGTGGGAATCTGCCAGTGTGGAAGGGAAGTGGGGGGTTCAGTGTTAGGAGAAAGGCAAGAACACAGTGGGTACAGTACATCATGATGGCAGTACAAGGCAACTCACAATGGAGGTGGCAAAATGGTGGTCCATGGCTGAATTTGGTTTTCAAGGGTAATCTGCTTGGCCCTCACTATGTTAAGAAAACTAGGCAGCCAGTCAAGAAAAGCTTCGGGGTGAAGACTTCCAGTCAAGGTGGTAGCATAAATGAACATGGCTCACTTCCTCACAGGACCACATCAAAATTACA